TGCTGCCATGGTGGCATGCTGCCTTTTAGGCCAGTTATGTGATGATGACTTCTCTTGATGTATAACTCGTTCAGATGAGTTTTAAGATTTCAATATATCACCAGCTATTAAAAAAAAGTTAATGTCAAAACAACTCCACTGAACTCCACTGAGTCAAGTCAGCTTCCAGTGATGGTATTAGCGATGTCAATAAAAGCTTGCTGGAGTTGAATTTTAAAGCATGCAAACAACCTTGGTGTTTTGCTTTTACATAATTTGTTGGGCAGTTTTCTAATTTTTGTATTTACTTTCACTGTCCTCTTCATTCCTTTTTTTTTTTTTAATGAGCAGAAGGGGATTGATTGAAGTTTAGGGTGTGCAAAATGGCTTGCTGTATTGCAGTTCTCATTGCTTTTTATCTCTTCTTCAGCTTTTTCATTTTTCAACTTCTACATTGTAGGTTTCTTCATATCATGAGATCTTTTTGGCTCTTTCTCCAGAACCTTGCCCAGTTAGAAGGTCTACTGTCCTTCCATATTATGGAAAAAACAGCAAGTGGTAGCTTTTTTCCAAATGCAGGGGTGAGACTGGAAAATTCACTAGAAATATGCTGGTTTGGTTTCATGGTGGTTTTGGTTTTGTTTTTTTGTGGTTTTTTTGGTTTGGTTTGGTTTTTGTGTTTGTTTTTTTTTTTTTCCCCTCTCCATTCTTAAAGTCAGAATATTCCTACTAGCTTTCTCCTTACAGCTGCTCAAATACTGAATTTGTTCTTCCTAATCTGTAATTCCTCATAATACTCCTGGAGCTTTCTTCTGGGTCAATGAATCCAGAAAAAAACTTCTCTAACTGTTTTCCAACTATTATCACCACTATTTTTAGTAGTAATACATCATGACTAATAGAGGTAGTTCATGGTTTCACATATGTGCCTTTTACAACAGAAGGCATACAAGGGTTTGGATTAACGTATAACCAGCAAAGACAGATACTTACATGACATAAGCTCTTTACACCTATTTACTGACCTGCTATTTTGTTAGTGATCAGATGACTTTGAAGTCAGTTAGAAGTTTGTAACTGACTTCAGCAGGGTGCAAATAGCATTTTTTCTGCCTTAATATGTGAAATATTAACTATATACTCAATGTCCAATACACTGACATACAAACCTGTGTATTTCTAGCACAGTTTTATTTCTCCAAATTTTGTGAAGACAAATGTTACCTCAAGTTTATGATTATCGCTAAACGTTTCTACTAAAATCTAATTATGTAAAAAGTGCTTGCCCCTCATCCAGCTATTGATGATTATGAAACAATGAAGAGCATTTTTATTTAGGATTGAGGCCTTGGAGTACGTGATTAAGTTGAATGCTTTTGAATGATGTTCTAGAATTCTTAATGGCTGTGAAGGAAAAAGGAATTGGGGAAGAGGTAGGCTTTTTCCCCGTTGTTTTAATTTAAATGCAAATGATCAGGTACCACAATGCTGTATTAGGCTGTCTGTTCCTTCCCAGTACATTTATACAGTTTTTAGTTTTTAGATATAAGGCTTACATGCTATTGCAAAACAACTATATTTGTATTAAAATCTGACACTGCTATAGCTCCGGATTAAGTACAATTATTTTGTTCTTGTTCATTTCATGATGTTTTATTTTGCTGAATTTGCTCTGTTTTGTAGACTGCCATGGTAACACTGAGACCATCTCAAAGGTCTGTTGGTTTAATTCTTAAGTTGTGCTGTGAACCTGGCTGCCTCAGGGGTGTTAGGAGAATGAGAGCTATTTCCCTACTGAGAGGTGAAGAATGGCCTTATTTCCTTTTCTGCAAGTGTTATCATTGTAGCTGGCAGGCAGCTTATTAAAACAGTTCTATACGGTACTCAGTACAAAGAATGAAATTGTGGTTGCTATTAATAAGGTTTTCCTTTCTATTTCCAGCCTGAAAGAATCCAACCTATCTTCACTAAATTACAGAATGTTGTAATTCTTGCTATCAATAATTTCCTTGATATTTTTCTTTTTGTTAAAAGTTTAGTCTTTATTTTTATTTTATTATTACAATTACTCTGCTATTCACTCTGAGTCATTCATTGAGATTGAGTTCATGTTACCAGATTTCCTGTAAAAATCAGTGATTTTAAAAACAGTCTTAACAAAGCCAGTGCCTTTTGAAAAGCAGAAAAGCACACAAAGTTCAGTGGGTGCTGCCACTGAACAAGTATTTTTAGCAGTTTCTTCTCAAACTTTCATGAGCTTTTGGAGGCAAAGATCTCAAACAAGCATGTATGATTTTGTGTAGTGGTTAGATGGATTTAGCTAGTCTTGAGTTCACTAATGTTGCAGAAGAGAACTAGTTTGAATTACTGCCCTGCTTGAAGAGATACGGCAAGAGAGCTGGGCAAAAATTGTTTGGGTAATGTGTCCATACTGCTGCTACACAACACTTTTCATCTTCTCATAAGCTCTCCTCATTTCAAGATCAGGTTCTTATAGAGTGCTCTGAGCAGAGTTGTGCACAGAGATGATGCTGAAGTCAGCACAGAAGAGGTGCTCAGGTGCAGTTTTCTCTTAGAGTCCCCTTGTATGTGCATCTATATTACCTTTGCTGTCAGTCATGATGCACTTAAGGGAGAATTCAAGAAGCTGGTTTGTGTGTTTCTTTGGGCCAGTTGAAGTGTATGACTCATGGTGAATTGACAGGCTTTTACTTTTAAGGAGTTACATGTGGATGCTGCTCTATGTGACATGTGTCCAGGAGCAACCGTGTAACAAATGGATCAGCTTTCTGTGACTCTTACTTTTAATGAACTAAAGGGGAAAACTGCGTGATTGGTGGGAAGAGGAAGGTGTGTAGTACCAAATTTCAGGAAATAAGCTTAGCTGCTTGCATATCTAACCTTTATTCCAGTGGAAAAATACGATGCATACTGAATACACTTTCAGAAGTCTTTGTTTTTTTTTTGTTTTTGTTTTGTTGTTTAGTGGATCACAAGCTGCAGGTCTGTATAGCTTTAAGTAGTTTCAGAAATTTAGAAATACTAAATGAGGGACAGAGGAAACTGCATCTAAATGTCTTGAGCTTTTGATACATTATCTCATAAGCTTCTTCACTGTTTTGTCACAGATCCAAAAAGTATTGTGTACACTGTAAAGCAGAAAGACAATGTATGGTAATAACATTAGCTGATAAGTGATGAATGTTATCACAAACTAATTTCTAGAAAGACTTGATGAATAATAGAGAATTTGGTGATGTTATTGAATAGTGCTAATAGAAAACAGATGTTTTCTAACTGTTCCTTTCTTTCTGGGAAGTTTTTTTTTCTGTTCTGAACGTGGCTGACTTGTTTTCTTGTGTCTTGCTTATGTTACAGCATTAATGGTTCTTTCATGATCTGTTTAGCAGCATTTCTGTCACTCAGCTGCAGCATAGAACAGCCAGCTGCACCATGCGCCTGGCACTAGCCTGTTTCCATAGAGAGCTGAAGCAGCCCCATGCAGGCTCTGTTCTCCTGTTGGTGGGTGTATCTGAGCAGATGCGCCTGCTTTTCCAGGAGCTCATGCTTTCAGTTTGTTACTGTAACCAGAAAGCCTGGACAAACAGCGCAAAGGCTTTTGGGAGAAGGAGATGCCAAATGAGAAAGGAAAGGGTATTTTCTAAAATTCACAAGTGAAAAAAAAGAAAAAAAAGATTAATTGAAACAGTAAATTAAACAGCTGATATAATCCATTATGGAGTGGGTAGCTTTTTTGAAAACAACTTTAACCCCTCCTCCCCCCCCCCCAAAAAAAAAAAACCAACACTAACCACCATCCCTTTAATGCAGAAGTCACCGCTTTATTTTCAGCGTTTGCTTGCTAGATACTGTGGATGATTAACTCTGAAGTTGCTGACACACACACGTGAACACCCCAAATGTTCTCCCTGTGTCTTACTGAGGCTAGTGTGATTGTGATTTTCTTCTACCCTTGAGTTGTCGGGTTTGTTTTTTTTTTTATGTTTGACTTAGTCAAAGCAGAGCTTTTGGCCAGCACCCATAGCTTCTAGTGAAATCCTGTCTGTGTGAGCGGAACCTGATATTATCAGGTCACATTCACCCATTACACATAATTAAATGGATTCATTTCTACCCTACCATCTTGTTCCTCATGAGTTGTCCTGTTATTGGAGCACTGAACTGTGGAAATTACCTATTTCCAATTTATGGTGAAGTTATTTTAGCTCTTTCCCATTTTTGACTGCGAGATGTATGCCTTTAGCGTTAAAAATGCAGTCTGAGTTAGCAAAACCAGACTTCAGTGTATTTCGTTTATCAGACTTCTAAGATTATAGCAGAGATGTGGTGAACCTGAAACAGACAGACACAAAAACCTTTGTTCTTTAATCTGTGTATAGTTGCTTGATTTACAAATTACTTCAGTTATTGAGAAACAGAAAAAAACCTATGAAAACGTTTTTTGCTATTCATTACATTTCTACCAAATAAGCTGATATGGAAATAATTTTCTACATCTGATTGCTAGTCAGTCTAATAAGGGTTTTTTTTGTTTGTTTGTTTGTTTTTTTCACAATCACAGAAAATAGCAGTAGACGAATATTTTCTATCACTTAGTGTTCTTTCTACCTTATCCTTTTTTTTTCATTACGGTGGGCAAATAATAAATCAAGTAAACACAATTTTTTTTTACCTAGCTGTCAACATACTTATGTTCTCAGTTTGGTGTAATTATGGGTGTATTTTTGCTCACTGAGATAGTTCCTATCAACATTTTTGCTTGTTTCTGTCCTGTAGAAAGTAAGTTAGCTATTAGCATAATAGACACCCGAAGTATGGGATTACAAGACCAGCTGTTCTGTCAGATATATGTTCTCAATAGGTTCTGTCCATTGTACTGCTGCTAAGCGTTCTTCATCATAAAATGTAGAAGTAAATTAATAGTCTGTTAAAATTGTTAGACAATATTGGTGTGAAATAAACCGAAGTACTAATTACATTCTTTTTTCTTCTTTCCCCAGGAAGACATCGACAGCCTAGAAATTAAGAAAGGGTTCTGAGAAGTCTGGTGGATCAAGGTGGAATTTTTTTCCCAACAGCCTTTTCAAAATCGCCTCTTGCAAAACCTTTGGGCGTTCCCCGTTGTGCCATGTTTTGTGGCTTCCACTGTAGGAGGAGTTTGTCTTGATGAAGATTCCTAACATTGGTAATGTGATGAATAAATTTGAGATCCTTGGGGTTGTAGGTGAAGGTAAGTAGTATCTTACTAAAAAATTAATTAGGATTTTATATAGGCTTGACTTAGTTTTCCTGACGGTAATCAGTTTTCATGTGCAAAATACTGCTGTGTTCAGATTTTAAGACACATCGGTTTATTCCATATAGTTTCTTCTAATTCCATTCTTAGATGGAAGGAGAAGTTTGGAAGATAAAAGAAAAGGAAGAGAAATGGGACTGTGTTGTGTTGTGTGGTTTTTGTTGTTTTTTTTCTTTTTTTTGTTTGTTTAAGTTTACTATATTAATTTCTTTTTAATGATACAAGGGACATGCAGGTTATCAAGCTGCTCTTCGAGTATGTTTAAAGGAAGTATTTTCAGCATTTTGAAATTTACTTTGAAGCAATTTTTATGAAATTGTTTCAGTGCACATAACTTCAGTACAGTATCGATGCAAGTTCTGGATAATTAATACTGGAACAGCATTATTTCTATAACCAGAAGGTGACTGAAGACTCATCTTGCCACTTCTTTATTTTCTGCTTTGACATGGTTTATCTCTTTTCTTCTTTGTTTCAGGTGCCTATGGCGTTGTACTTAAATGCAGACACAAGGTAAGTAAATTGCTTTAAGTTAAATGCTGGTATTTTTTGACAATGACTTGTGATGAGAACTGAGATAGTATTACGTATAAGATTTCTTAAAGAAAAAAAAGTTGTTTTGCAATGCCGTTTATGCTCAAGCAGTCTCAATTAGAATGTCGAATTAGTTGCTAAATACTGCTGTATAACCACTACCTATCTTGGGGCAGGGGAACGGAATGCGATCCATATGGAATTTCTGCAGCTGTTGGACAATGAAAGTGCGTTACAAAAGCACTGACTTCCATGCTTATTGATTTTAATTTGGAAGAAGTAGTAAAAAGCAAAAACTGTTTCAGACAAAAATGACATCTGGCAACTTGTCTATACTATTTTAACTACTGTGTAAGTTGGATAAACCTGAACTTGCTGCTCATCAGCAAGGAACTGACATGAACTACTTTGCTGTCTTTGGAGCAGCAATATAGTCATATAACAAAATAACTTCTCTTTCTGTGAAGCCAAACTTTTGAGAATCATAGAATTATTCATGTGTAGTGATCCAGGAACAGTTTGGGGTTTTTTTTGTTTGGTTTTGTTTCATTTTTTATGTAGCTCACACCTTTTACTAGGAAAACGTTATCGCACTGGAGCAAGCCTACCTTCCTGCAGTGGCTTTTAGCATGTACACAGAAGGGCTTCCGCAGAGGACGTATGTATTTGGAGTGACTTATGCTATTATATTGACTTCAAGTTAAAGAAGGGGGAAAAAAAAGAGAGTTTGGAAAGATCCTATCTCAAGTTGAAGCCTTCTCAGGCTTCAGGGAGACTAACACTCAGTAGAATGGCTTTGGTATTTTTGGATAGTTACAGAATTATGATTCAGGGTGAATAGTTTGAAAGCACCTTGGTAGTAACAATACAGTTTATATTAGGCAGCTCTCTTTATGAAGACTTCAGAAATTTCTAGGATTTCCTGCATTGCTCAGTGAAATTTCATGTCTGCATGTCTTTAGTCACGTCCTCATCTGAAAGAATTTAGAACTCTACGAGCATAGTGTAATGCCAGGGTAGCCTGTTGTCAGTTCCTGTAAGAATATTTTACAGTACACCAGATGACTAGAAAGGAAAGCTTTCCTTTAGCACAGGGAGGTGTTTCTTCCTACAGCCTATGCAAGAATCTGAACTTTTAGGTAGTCACACCACTTTTTTTCCTCGGCTTGAAAATTAATTGAACCAACTGTATTGAAGTTCTAAAACAAAGTTGTAATTGTTAAAGCCACTAGCAAGTGGATTTAATAAAATCTAGGGTTTCCAGTATTTGGAGATCTGAAGAAAAGGCAAGGTATGTTGCTATTTTAAACTTACAGATTTATGATTCTCACTCACTTAAAACAAGCTGCACCCAATGTCTAGGCCAGATGACTTTAGGGGCTATCTGGTTTGCAAAAAAAAAAACAACCCAACCAGAACTATCTAGAAGTTAAACTTTGGCATGTATCTTTTTTCCCTATCCTTCACCCGCTATTTGTCATCTTAACTTTTCCCTTGTATGCCTTGGAAAATATGTTGAGAGGGACCTGTCCCCAGTTCTTTTGCAAGATGCTGCATAGATTCAGAGCAGGCATGTCCTGCTTGTTTCCTATCTAGGCGAGGTTTTTTAAACATTTAATAATTGCCACAAGAATTTAGTTTATGTTTAATTGTAGGCATCATAATAAATAGAATTATTTCCTAGTTCCTACATTTTTGATGCGTTTTATTCATTTTTACTTTGCTTGTTCCTTCTAAACATGGAGGAAAAGTGTCTGTAAAGTTGGAGGAACAGTATAAATTGGAGCTTGAAGATGTGGAAAGGTGCTGCCTGTTTTTTACAGATTTTTGCTACCTTAAGACAGAAAAGATCTAAATTATAGACAGAAATTTTAAGGCTATGATATTAATCATTGACTGGAATGGACATGGTAGAAGTTGTAACGTTGTAAAGAAACACCTTTCTAATGGGGAAGGAAAGGGAAAAAGAAAAGGGGAGAAGATTCTAATTCCTGTGAGATCAAAGATGTTCTAAACTAAAGGGGTGGAGTTCAGGCAAGGCTTAAAAACAGTCACTAAATGGCACAAAATGGGAATTTCTCCCAAACCGTAATAATAAAAAAAAATAAATTGTTCATTAAGAAAACTTACTTGCATTCTAAGGAGGAAAAAAACCTATTGCAGGATGGTATATGTGATTTTCCTCTTTGATCAAGAAAGGTTTGTTTTTTTTTTAATATAACTTCCCTACTTTTGTCAGAAAACAAAGATTTAATTAACTTTCATGAAGTTTTAGCAGAATTACCTTGAAATGCAAGGGTATGTGGCTTGGTTTGGCTTTGGTTGTTGTGGTTTGGTTGGGTTTTTTTTTACTGTTTGGCTGCTGATGGCCATACTTTTTTTAGTATGGATGAAGAAAGTAGGAAATTCTTCCACATGATTTACCTGCAGGTAGCACTAATGAACATTGAGTACATTACATAGGAAGTCTATTTGGCACCACGTAAGAAGTCCAGAAGCAGCATAAAAATGAGAATGCTGCAGTATTTTTAATGTATGTATGATATATACCACACCATCCTTGGTCATGTTCCCTCAGCATGTGCTAATTTTCATTATGTACCAATAGCAATTATGTCTAAGAATTTAAATATAGAAGTATTTATATTCATATTTATAAACAGTGGGAACATGCCAGGATCAAATTCTCAGCTCTTGTAAGTCAATTTATCTCCATTTTATTGGTGAGAGAGTAAATTTTGTGTGAAATGTGGAGCTCACCCATAATTGCAACAATTGCAATGTATAATCCCTAGTGTTTCAATAAATATATATCTTTATGCCCCAGTGAGTTTCATAGTCATGTGTATATGGATTTAAATTGGAGAGAATGGCATAAGGAACAAATACCTTGTCATTATTATGTGCTTTTATTTTGCTAAGGGAACGTTATCAGAAAAGCTGAAGTAGCTCCTCTAAATGACTGTGTTTACATTATTATACAGCATGTTTTAATGTTTTTATTGCAAATCCTTTATTGCCAATTGTGGTTCGAGCATAAAGATTACTTTATCTGGTTTATCCGGTTGTTTGGGGGTTTATTTGGTGATTTTGTTTGTTGGTTTGGGATTTTTTTTTTTTCTGATGTGAATTCAATACAAATAATATTGATACAGCAGAACTGATTTCTGAAAAGCTTTTTTCTCCCCTTCTTTTAATGAGAGGACTTTTCGTAAGGAAATATACTGGAGTGCATTGTGATAATACTAGAAATACATTTTTATATTCCCAAACTATTAAAACAGGTTTTCTTGGCTTATTTACTGGATCTTGGCTGTTTACTGAAAATAAAAACCACTTGAACAGTTCAGCAGTGTCAGACATCATGGCTGAGGAAAAGAATTTTTGCTTATGTTTAAGACTTGTCAAATATTTGCCTTTAAATAAAACCACTATCCCCTTTACTTTGCAACTTGGGCTTGCAGCTTCATGCAGTTATCCTTTGCTAATAGAGACTTAGGCGCAAGTATTAGGATGCTGGCACTGGATACAAAGCCAATAGGACAACGTTGTGACTGAAAATCAATAAAATTATAGAAAGATGCTGTAGGAAAGCCATAGGTGTCCAAAGACAGGCACACTAAAGAAAGAAGCCTAGAGGCAAAACTTAAGCTGAAAGTTCCTGTAAATGTTTCAGTATACTTTGACACAATATACAGGCAGAACATTTGGTATACTTTGACACTGTGTATTTCCTTATTCAAGCTATTACAGGATTTTCCTACAAGAAAAGGCAAGGCCTTACATTACCTGTGATGTAATAGTGGTTGTTGAGTGGGAGCAGCCTGCTGGCTGCTCTGTTGCAAGAGCTGGCAGGGTTTATCCTGCAGACAAGGGGTTTGTGCAGCGCAGGCCTGTGCCTCCTTGGGGGAGCTCTGTGTGGATCACTAACTCCTTGATGCACAATGGTCTCTCTGATCAGGGTGACTAAACATTGTCACTGCCTCTTAGTTTGTCAGCTACCTTCACATTCCTATCAGTTCATTGGTCAGTTTTGTCAAGAAATTGCCTTCTGCATTTTCCAGAATATGTTCTGTCTCCACCAGGCTGTATTGTCGTTGCAGCAGATGTTGAAGTGCTCCAAGTCCTCTGTAAAAGCTGGACTTAATTTTTTATCTTTATTATCTATTTATCTATTTTGCTGTCTTGATCAGGTGCTTTGAAGCAGGTACTTGCTCTAATGCCACCTGGGTTGTTCTGTCTTCTAACCTTCATGCAAAACCTAGACTTCTTTCTTACTTATTTCTAAGAAAAAGTCCATGCCTGCAAGCTTCCTTTCCCTTTGCAAGAATCTCCTTGCCTTCTTAGCTTGTCCTTCTCAAAATATCTTCAGTCTGTTCATGGCAGTGCTGTGGTCATGCAAGCACATTTTCTGTGATCCTATTGAGGGATTTCATCATCTAGGAGGACAGGTAGTTCAAATAATGCACATTTCTCTAACTGTGCGCTGACACCTAGTTCCTCTTGTTTGTTTCTCATTACACTTGCGTTTTGTGTACAGCCATCTGGGACCTGGTTGTGTTGCTTTCAAAGAGGGAATGGGAGCTTCATACTCATAGAAAATTTGTGGTCTGCCTGGTGTTATAAAAACGTAGTTCCAAATTTGCCTGGGAAATGGAGAAGTGATTCTAACAACTCATGTATCTGCTGATGTTATTAAGCTTGTCTTACTGCTCTTACTGGGTCCCTAGAGACCCTTCTTTTAGTGTTGTTGCTTAACTCTTAAATGTTAAATGTTTAACCCTTCTTATGTTTATGAGTTTCTCTTACATGTCAAAATTAAAAGGTAAGTGTAATTGTTTGTGAAAGTAGTGTTTATCTTCAGTATGCTGTGCTTTCAGATGTTCTTGCTTTAGATCTGGCTTTCCAGGTTTCTTAACTCTCCAGCTTGTCTTAAGCCAAGTGCTTGGACTGAAGAATAAATTCTTCATTTCATTTTA